TCCTCAAACAAAGCGACTTGTGTGTTTAATCTGTTTGCTGTGCAATATTATGTATTTTGTACTCAAATATGCGCTAACAAATTTGCCTTTGAGTTGTTTTTTCCTCTCAGGTACCTCTTACTGATCTGTGTCTATAAAGCTGGCAGATCACCACTACTTTACCAGATCAAAAGGTCGCGCAGATTCCTTCCCCGGATCAAACGCAATTACAGACATGGGCGACAACAATGAACAAATTAGCCTCACAGATGTCGTGGTGGCTAAGCCCACCGTGGCAGAGCAGAATGAGCTTATTGCGCAGCTGATGCAGCAAATAGCTGACATGAGGGTAGAGATGCAACGGAGGCAAGACACTCCTCCGCCCGGGTTTGGCCCCAACTTTCTCGACGCGAGACCTCCTACATACTTTCCTTCGTCCAACTCGGATCCTACTCAGCACCGTCCATCGACACCCGTGCACGACCCCTCCAGAATAGATGTGACAGCCCAAAACCCCCAATACGCGTCAGTCTCCTATCAAATTCCCTCACCACTCCCAGACAATCCTCCACAAATACCACCGCACCCCCAAAGCATTCCAACAGCCCCATTACCCCAAAATCAAACCCAAAATCCCACCGCCTTCAATTCCCAAACACCGCATCCCCACTTTAACCAAAATACCAATCCCCAAAATTTTCCGCAAAATTATCAAACCGCACAGAACGTGCCAAGCCCTTCTATAGCTCCACCCCTCCCCAAAAGAACCACTTTTCAAGTCCCTGTCCAAGTCGAGCATGAGGTGCACGGCTCCGAGATGGACCACTATGAGGAGCAAGAAAGAGAGTGGAGGTCGAGGGAAGAAGCAAAGGTAGACATAAAGGAGGAGATCAGGAGGGCAATGAGGGAATTGCAATGTACTCCAGACGTCGCCGGGTTAAGCTACGCAGAACTATGCATCCACCCAGACTTGAACCTGCCTGAAGGGTTCAAGATCCCGAAGTTTGATACCTTCGGCGGGGTGGGCAACCCCATGGCACACCTCAGAGCGTACTGTGACCAACTCGTGGGAGTTTGCAAAGATGAAGCCTTGCTGATGAGGTTATTCAGCCGGAGCCTGTGCGGTGAAGCCCTGGAGTGGTTTACGTCACATGAAACTCGACAGTGGTCCAGTTGGAGTGCACTGGCTAAGGATTTCATTGACAGATTCGCATATAACGTCGAGATAGTTCCTGATCGGTACTGCTTGGAGAAGATGAAGCAGAAGCCCACAAAAAGCTATCGAGAATTCGCGTACAGGTGGAGGAAAAAGGCGACAAGGGTGAGGCCTCCGATGACAGAAAAAGAGATTGTGGAGGTGTTCGTGCCGGTGCAGGAGCCCGAGTATTATGACAGGATCATCTTGTTAATCGGCGCCAAGTTCGCTGAAATAGTCAAAGTGGGTGAGACTATTGAAGATGGCCTGAAGTCGGGGAAGATAGCCCGAGTGTCTGCATCGCCTGGATCTTCCGGATTGGTAAGGAAGAAAAGAGAGGAGGTTAACTCTATCTCACACGGGGGAAGAAAGGCCCCCAGAAACTTACCATGTCCCCAAGGCCGCTCCTACACTCCACCAAAGCCTCATCAAGCCTACCGTCCACACTCAGATCATTCCGGCCACTACAATGCCGGCCCCACTTATCCAGAGGCCCATATTGTGTCGTATCAGAATCCGCCCCAAATTCCCCAAAATTTTCCCTCCCACCCCCAAGCTTATCAAGTTCCTCCCTACTACCAGAATGTCTCTCCCAGCTGCGCTAATGTACAACCAAGCTACCGAGCACCATCCCCCGCATATCAAATACAAACCCCAGCATATCAAAACCCCCATCCAAATTACCAAGCCCCAATGCCAAACTACCAAACAAATCCCTACCCCAGAACCCAAGCTCCACGACCAAATGCCCGCAATTACCAACAAGTCCCTCCCCCTCAGCAAAGCGGTTATGATCCTCCCCGGCCGAGATTTGAAAAAAGGCCTTCAAGGAAATTTACCACACTTGCTGAAAGCCGGACCAAACTATTTGAGAGGCTAGTCGCAGATGGATACATCCACCCTGTGGGGCCCAAACCCGTGGATGTCAACTCAAAGTTCTACAGGCTGGATCAAAGGTGTGCGTATCATTCCAACAGTGTTGGACATGACACGGAAGATTGCATCAACCTTAAGCACAAAATCCAAGACCTGATCGATCAGGAGGTAGTTTCTCTTCAACCGGCGGCGCCAAACGTCAACACGAATCCGTTGCCAAATCATGGGGGTGGAAACACCAACATGATAGAAACTGACGAAGATGAGCGTGAAGCCAAGAGAATTACTCCTGTTGTTCAGGAGGACTTGGAAAGGGCTGTCACTTCTTTAAGCGTCAAGGAAAAGAGGGAGTTTTTTATTCTGACACCTGCAAAAGTTGTTGCCTTGGTGCCCTCAAAGACTCTCCCCAAACCCAAGTTTGTGATAGAAACGGCCGTGGCTCAAGGCATGACTAGGTCCGGAAGGTGCTACACTCCTGATGAGCTTGCTCTCGGAGGACAGAAGAAGGACCATGCTAAGAGGCTGATAAGCGAGGGGGAAGCAGAAGAGTTCTGGAGAAGGATGCAACCGAAGGACTATTCCATCGTCAAACATTTAGAGAAGACTCCGGCTCAGATATCTGTGTGGGCCCTGCTGATGAGCTCTCAGTCCCACAGGCAGACCTTAATGAAAGCTCTTGATGATATATACATGCCCTCAGGCACAAGCAGCGACAATGTAGCTGCTATGATTCACCGAGTCATTCAGGGACACCGCATCAGCTTCTGCGATGATGAGTTGACGTCCGAATAGAGAGCCCACAACAAAGCTCTACACATCACCGTGGTATGCCGCGGAAAGATCGTCAACCGTGTTTTGGTAGACGACGGATCTGGCCTAAACATATGCCCCTTGTCCACGCTGAAGCAGCTGAGGTTTGACCTCGGAAAGTTGGAGAAAAACCAGGTCAATGTGAGAGCATTTGATGGTGTGCAGAGAGAGACGTTAGGAGCGGTGAACTTGATCATCCAAATGGGCCCCGCAGAGTTTGAGGCAAAATTCCAGGTGTTGGATATCGACACCAGCTATAACCTCCTTTTGGGAAGGCCATTCATTCATATGGCTGGAGCCATCCCCTCCACTCTTCACCAAGTGATGAAACTAGTATGGAGAAATGAAGAACTAGTTATTCACGGGGAAAGGAGCCATTCAGGTAAGCAGGTGCCGATCTTGGACGAGACGCCGCAAACTTTGGATTTCTACACAGTGGAGTTGGTAAATGCCACCGATGAGGGCTTGGCACCACAGACTCCCATGCCGGCCGTGTACAAAATGATTGCCACGGTAATGCTGCAGAGCGGATTCGAACCAGGTTCCGGACTAGGAAGGAATGCCCAAGGGATTATCAAGCCAGTTCCCGTCCTTGCTCAGGGATCAAAGTATGGTTTGGGGTACATCCCCACAGATGGTGATATGAAGATGAAGAGGAGAAGGGATCAAGAGTTGACTAAGCCGATCCCGCATCTCTATCACTCCTTTCCAGTTTGGGAGCATGCCGAGCCTGAAGACGACGGGGAAGGAATCTGCGACCTGTTCAATGAGATCAATGCCGTCATAGAGGAGGAGGCTGAGCCAGCTGGCTTTCGTGATGCTGAACCGGGGGAGATGCTGAAAAATTGGATGTCCACACCAATCCTGATATCCCGGACTTTTGGGTAGAAAGGAATTATTTTGTGCATGCCAAAATCGGTGGTCGTTCGGAAGAGGCCCGAGACCCACCATTTCTGCATTTTCTTGATTTTGAATTTTGTTATGATTGTTTAAAGGGCGACATGGACTTGTGCCATGACCCAAGTTTGCATTTTGATTCAATTTAAATGAAAGCCTCTTTATTTTGACTTTGTTTATTCGATTGCTTGTTATATTTTACTTTTCTAATTTTGTCTGTTTATGATTTCAGTAACGTAAGTTACAAACCTGCCAATGTCATGTCATGTCATGAGCTAAACGAGCAAAATGAGGCAAATGACGACGAGGCTGACGACTACGACGAAGAAAGTGGGGAACCAGACTATGTGGTAGAAGAGTTTCAACAGTTCGAGAATCTACATAAACCGAATCTGGAGGAAACGGAGACGGTGAATTTGGGAGATTCAGCATGTGCCAAAGAGGTTAAGATCAGCACTCACCTGAATGAAACTCATAAGGAGAGCCTGGTTCATTTGCTTGCCGAATACAGCGATGTGTTTGTTTGGGAGGTCGGTGACATGCAGGGGCTGAGTACTGATGTCGTATCTCATAAGCTACCTATCAACCCAAGGTTTGAGCCGGTGAAGCAAAAGGCTCAGAAATTCAAGCCTGAATTGAGTTTGAAGATTAAGGAGGAAATCACCAAGCAGATAGAGTCTCGGTTGGTAGAAGTAACGCAATATCCCACCTGGTTGGCGAATGTCGTTCCGGTCGCCAAGAAAGATGGAAAAATCAGGATTTGTGTTGATTACAGAGATCTCAACAAGGCTAGTCCAAAGGATAATTTCCCGTTGCCAAATATCCATATTGTGATTGACAACTGTGCCAAACATGAGATGCAGTCATTTGTGGATTGTTATGCGGGTTATCACCAGATTCTGATGGATGAAGAAGACGCAGAGAAAACGGCCTTCATTACACCTTGGGGGGTATATCACTACAGGGTGATGCCGTTTGGGCTCAAAAACGCCGGTGCCACTTACATGAGAGCCATGACGACTATCTTTCATGACATGATTCACAAGGAGATTGAAGTGTACGTGGACGACGTCATAATTAAATCCCGCGAGAGTTCGGATCATGTGACACACCTGAGGAAATTCTTTGAACGTTTGCGTCGGTACAACCTAAAGCTAAATCCCGCCAAATGTGCTTTTGGTGTCCCAGCTGGGAAGTTGTTGGGGTTTATAGTCAGCAGAAGAGGTATTGAGCTCGACCCTTCCAAGATTAAATCAATTCAGGAGTTACCTCCGCCGAAGACGAGAAAAGAGGTGATGAGTTTCTTGGGGAGGTTAAACTATATCAGCCGGTTTATAGCACAATCGACAGTGGTATGTGAGCCTATCTTCAAGTTGCTGAAGAAAGATGCCCCAACTAAGTGGACTGAAGAGTGCCAGACCGCTTTCGACGCTATCAAGAGCTACTTGTCTAACCCACCAGTATTGGTTCCTCCGCGAGAAGGGAGTCCTTTGTTACTGTATTTGTCTGTCTCAAATAACGCCTTTGGATGTGTACTTGGTCAACACGACGAGACGGGGAAGAAGGAAAGGGCTGTCAACTACATAAGCAAGAAATTTACTCCGTACGAGTCTCGCTACACTTTGCTGGAGAGAACATGTTGTGCTCTGACGTGGCTGGCCCAGAAGCTAAGGCACTACTTGTCGTCGTATACTACATATCTTATCTCCAGGATGGATCCATTGAAGTATATTTTCCAGAAAGCGATGCCGACCGGGAAGTTAGCTAAATGGCAAATGCTGTTGAGTGAGTTTGACATTGTGTACGTGACTCAGAAGGCGATAAAGGCACAAGCTTTGGCTGATCATCTTGCGGAAAATCCTGTTGATGAAGAGTATGAACCTCTCAAGACATATTTTCACGATGAAGAAGTGTCATTTGTGGGTGAAGATATCTTTGAGGCTTATCCAGGTTGGAGATTATTCTTCGATGGAGCGGTGAATCACCAGGGTAAAGGTGTTGGAGCAGTCCTGGTATCAGAATCTGGTCAGCACTATCCTATGGCGGCTAAGCTACGATTCAACTGCACAAACAACATGGCTGAATATGAAGCTTGTATTCTCGGTTTGAAAATGGCCGTTGACATGAATGTTTACGAGTTATTGGTTATCGGAGACTCAGACCTTTTGATTCATCAGGTTCAAGGAGAATGGGCTGTGAAGAACCCAAAGATTGTACCTTACGTACAATGTGTGTAAAATTTGTGTAAAAGGTTTCGCAAGATCGAGTTCAGGCATAATCCCAGAATACAGAATGAATTAGCTGATGCTCTTGCCACCATCGCTTCAATGATCAAACATCCGGATACTGATTACATCGACCCGTTGGATATAGACTTGAAGGAACATCCAGTCCATTGTTCACATGTTGAATCAGAACCAGATGGTTTGCCTTGGTATTTCGACATAAAGAGGTACTTGGAGCCTGGGACATATCCAGAAGATGCGGCATCTAATCAAAAGAAGTCGATATGTCGTATGGCTCTCAATTTCTTTTTGAATGGAGAAGTCCTTTACAAGAGGACTCCAGATTTGGGTCTTTTGAGATGTGTGGATGCTGCTAAAGCCGTGAGGCTTATTGAACAGATACATGTTGGAGTTTGTGGTACACATATGAACGGGATTACCTTGGCAAGAAAAGTCCTTCGAGCCGGTTATTTCTGGATGACTATGGAGCATGACTGTTGCAAATTCGTGCAAAAATGCCACAAATATCAAGTGCACGGCGATTTGATACGGGTGCCACCTCACGAACATAATGCTATGAGTTCACCTTGGCCATTTGTAGCTTGGGGAATGGATGTCATCGGTCCTATAGAGCCAGCCGCTTCTAATGGACACAGATTCATTTTAATTGCCATCGATTATTTCACCAAGTGGGTGGAAGCAGCCTCTTACAAATCGGTAACCAAGAAAGTGGTGGCCGACTTTGTCCGCAACAATCTGATCTACCAATTTGGAGTTCCAGAATCCATCATCACTGATAACGGTGCAAATCTCAACAGTCATCTGATGAAAGAGATATGTGAACAATTTACGATTATTCACCAAAGGTCAACTGCTTATCGCCCTCAAATGAACGGAGCTGTAGAGGCCGCCAACAAGAACATCAAGAAGATTCTGAGGAAAATGATTGACAAGCAGCGGGGTTGGCATGAAATGTTGCCATATGCTCTACTGGGTTATCGAACGACGGTCAGAACATCAACTGGGGCTACTCCATACTTGCTAGTATACGGAACAAAAGCAGTCGTACCTGTTGAAGTCGAGATACCGTGACTGAGGATCATCCAAGAAGCTGAGCTAAGTAATGCTGAGTGGGTTAGCAAACGGATTGATCAGCTAACTTTGATTGATGAGAAGAGGATGGTCGTTGTTTGCCATGGCCAATTGTATAGACAAAGAATGACTCGCACTTTTCACAAAAGAGTAAGAGCCAGAAATTTTGAAGTTGGTCAGTTGGTTCTTAAGCGTATTTTTCCTCATCAAGACGAGCACAAAGGAAAGTTCACACCAAACTGGCAAGGTCCTTACATGGTTCGCAAAGTACTATCTGGAGGTGCTTTAGTCTTGTCAAAGATGGATGGCGCTGTATGGCCCAAACCTATCAACTCAGATGCTGTCAAGAGATACTACGTGTGAAGTTTCGCTTTACAATTTTCTTTCATTTACTTGTAATCGTTCTATTTTCTTGTATTTGTTCGAATTTAAACTCTTATCCCTCTTGTAACGAACTACGTCTGACCTGAATTCTCGAGAACGAGATACGTAGGCGGCCTGTGTCGGCTTCGGTCACCCCATTTACCCCCTTAATTATTTCTTTGCATTTGAACTACGTTCGACCTGAATTCTCAAGAATGAGATACGTAGGCGGCCTTTGTCGGCCTTGGTCGGTTTCTTTGTAAAATTTATTATTGTTAACCGTTAAGGGGAACTACATTTGACCTGATTCCTGCCGCAACGGGATACGTAGGCGCCACAAGGGCTCGGTCATGTATCTCGTAAGTTCTATTTCCCCTTCTACAATAGAAACTGGGATAGAATCTTTGAGAGGGACTCAAAAATTCTCCAGAAGGAACCTTCTCTTTAGCGGATCAAACTAAAAACATTTCGAATTTGCGACTGGGACAGAATTTTTGAGGAGATCTCAAAAATTCCGCGATTTGTTCGGTTACAATGGAAAGATGAGCAAGTCCGGAATGCCTCTGAAATTCATTCGACAAGCGTCGAACTCAAAAGAGCTCGTTAAGCCTGACATGACATGACTTAGCAGTGACTTTTTCAAGATACTATTTTTTTTAAAAAAAATTGTTTCTCTT